TAGGATTACAGGCATGAGCCACCGCGCCTGGCCTTAGACTTGCTATTTATATAATTTGCCAGCTGCAAAAAGTATTGGAAAATGTGGAGAAAATAAGGCAATTAGTATGAGGAAGTGAGGTGAAAGATTGCCTAGAGAGAAACAATGATGGTAAGGACCCCAAAGTTGTTGATTTTTATTGCATTAGTATCAGAATTTTTAATTGTCAGCAACGGAAAATGTTCTGGCTAAATAGGCTGCAAAGGAATTCATTAAAATGAATTCCTACTTCACAGACTTCTCAGAACTAGATATGGAGCTATGCAGCCAGGAACAGTGCCCAAACCCAGGCTGCAGAACCAGTCTGGTGAGCAAAACTGAGCTTCTGCTGCAAGACCAGGGCACTGAAGCTTGCATTGCTTTGGCTGCTGTGCCAGAAGGTCAGTGTTACCACAGCCTCCCCTGCTGCGGAGGAGGAATCCCATACCATCCCTATTCCTTTGTGATACTAACTCCTAATTCAAAGTCTGGGTGAGCCTGATTGGTCATGTGCCTGTGACTTAGCTGCAAGGGAGTCGGGAAAAGCAAATATCTGGCATTCTCAGCTTCTGTAATAGTATGCATGCTCTGCTTCTCCAAACATTCCTAAGTTGAAGAATTTTCCAAACATGGAAAAGCAACTCATATGCATTGGCATCTACTGAAGAGATCCTATGTTTTACTTTCTTCAGATGTCAATGTGCTGAATTACATTAATATGTTTTCAAATTTTGCATCATTGAATGCTTGGAATTAAACCTACTTGGTCATTATGAATTATTCTTTTAATATGATTCTGGGTTGATTTGCTCACATTTTATTTAGAACTTCTGCATCTAAGTTAGAAAATAGGAATGGCCTATAGATTTCTTTTGGGGATCTTTGCTTTTCTGTTGGCTAGTTTGTTTTGTTTTGTTTTGTGATTGGGGTTATGCTAGCCTTGTAAAATACGTTGGAAAACTTTATATTCTCTGGAACAGTTATAGATCATAGGGATTTTCTGTTCTATGTGGTTGGTGGAATTCACCTATAAACCCATCTGGATTTGATGCTATTTGGGAGATAGCTTTTTGAATGCCTTTCTAATTCCTAATTACTGATCTTTTGAGATTTCTATTAATATGTCTTGAGTCAGTTTTGGTAATTTATAATTTCTTTTTGTTTCATTGTTTTCTCATTATATATTTTTTATTGAGGTTTAATTTATGTGAAATAAAATGCACGGATTTTAGATGTACAGTTCTCAGTGTTTTGATGAGTTTATTCCCTCAGGTAACTCCCACCCTAATTAAGACATGAAACATTTCCATCACCCCAATAAATTTGTTTTGTGCCTCTATTTAATTCTTTCCACATGAGCAGCCACTAATCTTTTCCCTTCTCTAGGAATTCATATAAATGGAATTATACAGTATGTAGCCTTTTGTGTCTTTTTGTAGACTTTTGTGTCCATCCATGTTGTTGGGTCTGTTTACCTCTAGTGTTCTCTTGAATGGGAATCATTACATGTGACCTTTTACATCTGGTGTCTCTCCCTACTTTGTAGAATTGAACAGCCAAAAACATTAGGACTGAAGTATGGAGAACCAACCTGGGATTCCAAAATGGGATAGAGGCAGTACATGTTAGAATCTTGGCAGCAGCCAAAGTGGACTATTCTGTGGCCAGAGAAGACATCTGTAGGGACCTTAACATTGGGGCATAAGCTGAGTTGGTATGAAGGTGCCTGGTGCCCTGCAAAAATAAGGGCTGCAGGATAGGTGGCATTAGGGGATCTGCGTCGTATGTCTGTATTTCTCTGGCTGGGACTGGTCTTGACCCCACCCTCACGTATCTGTGGCTGTTGAGCTACTTGTTTTTGCTGAATATTCTTGCATTTTGCTTTCTTGAATTTTGCTCTATGGTTCTTGAACCAAACTTGCAGTACTGTTGGATGTATGTCAATTTTTGAGGCCATCTCTCTCTGAAGGTGGGGGTTTGGGTATGGGTTCTCATTGAACAGGATGTTCAAAGCTTCCAGTTGCTTCTCAGTGAGCATGGTTCATTTTCTATGTGGATGCATCTGGTGTGTGCCTTGAGGAAGCTCCTCCGAATCTGACACCTTCTGATCCAGATGTGCGCCTCTGATCAGACCCAGTGATAAGAACTCTATTTCATTTTTCTGTTTGTTTGTTTTGGATTTTTTTTATTTGTTTGTTTTTTGCTCTGTTGCCTGGGCTAGAATGCAGCTGCATAATCATAGCTCATTGCAACCTCACTCCTGGGCTCAAGCGATCCTCTTGCCTCAGCCTCCTGAGTAGCTAGGACTACAGGCATCTACCACCAAGCCTGGATAATTTTTTGTAGAGATGAGATCTCACTACAGTTTTCAGGCTGGTCTCAAACTCCTGGCCCCATCAATCCTCCTGCCTTAGACTCCCAGAGTGCTAGGATTATAGGAATGAGCCACATACCTGGCCTCTTTTTCTTTTTAGTTTATTTATTTGTTTTTTGAGACAGGATCTTGCTCTGTCACCCAGGCTAGTGCAGTGACACCCTTATAGCTCACTGCAGCTTCAAACTCCTGACCTTAAGCAATCCTCCTACCTTGACTTCCCAAAGTGCTGGGGTTACAGGAGGGTGCACCATGGATGGCTAATATTTTTTGTTGATACATAATAGTGTACATATTTTGGGGGTACATGTGATGTTTTGATACATATTACAATGTGTAATGATCAAATCAGGGTAATTGGGATATCCATCACCTCAAATATTTCTCATTTCTTTGTGTTGGAAACATTATAATTCTTCTATTTTGAAATATACAATAAATTATTGACTATAATTTCCCTACTATACTATTGAATACTAGAACTTATTCCTTC